TGGATGGGGGCTCCCACTTATTACATTCTATAATATGGCCGTGTTGATGAGAACTGCTTTAGTCTATCTCTTAAAATAATAGTTTTATTGACTTGGAGTTGAAGCACCAGTTAGTTGAGAGGTTTTCTTGGGCATTTTTTTTGCACTAAAAACAAAAACAAATGCCCCTGGAATATTTTGGATTGCCTTTTTTTTTTAGAGATACTCTAAAGTTTTGGAAGTTCTTTTGGAAATATTTAGAGTGTAAGTTTGAACTGCCTTTTAGGGGGAACCCAAGGTTTATATCATGATTAATTCATAAAATGTTTTGATAAATGGGAAAAATTAGGTTACTACTCACTGAAAAAGTGCTTGGATGACAAAGGAGAGGGTATTACTTTTGGAAAAAAAAATACAAATAGTACGGACAGCGCTCTCGGATTGGACCTGGAGAGGTGTATTTTGTGGCCCTAGATAGCATGCAGCCCTGAGAACCAGGAGGAGTACCTGTAAATGTGAAAAACAAAAGAGAGAAACAAGAGGGCGCAAAACTAGGTCAGCTAACTACCTGGATCGAACATATCAGGGAAGGTGACAGGAACAATCAATATATATGTATAATGTACTTACTTATGTGGGTCGGGGAACCAGATGTGAACCGGTCTATGAGGAGGATCAGGATGTCCAGAATGTATGTTGAATGGCGGCTGATGTGTTGCCTGGCGCTGCTCGTCCCAAGGGGGAGAGAGAAGGGGAGAGGAGGAAGGTGGACAGGAGGCAGGTGACGGAACGAGGATATGGTCTGTCTTCCTGACACAACAATGAGGGATTTGAGCAGCGTACAAGAAAGGAGTCTGGCTGTGCTGCTGTGGCCGCAGCTGTCGATGGTGCGGCTCAGTCTAGGAGTGGACCGGTGCTTAGCAGTGTGCCCGAGAGGTTGCTTAGGGGTGTGCCGGAGCCGTAATAACAGCAATGGAAGGGAGCCGGCAGGGAAGTCAGGAGGTCCTCGATCCTTTTTGAGCTTGAGAAAGAGGTGTCATTTCTCGAAACGCGTTGCTCTTTATCCTTACCCACGACAGTCACTGACCCGACCTTTCGCCACCCTGCTGACTTCCCTGCCAATCTTTATCCCACTCTAACATGGGAAGAAACAAGCCTCAAAGTGCATCTCGATTTTCTTCTTCGGCTCATAAGTCGCAAGCTCCCTCTTCAATCAAATAATACTTTGAACACCCCGATCGAACAGATGGAGCTCCACGAGGCAAGATGGTGCCGACCTCAGACACAGACCCGCGGCCCACTACATCTTATTCGCACTTGTCTTCAGACTCTGCACAGAGAGACTCCCCTTCGAGTTCCCCATCCTCCTGCTCCGTCTACTTACCTGCTTCGGATGCATGCTGAGCTCTGACTTTCCCTCCCCAGTCATCTGTGACAGATCCGGGTCAGGACGGACAGGCGAGTGACTGGCCTACACGTGGCGGCACCTCAGCATGGTCCTCATTCAGCTTACCACATAACGCCACTCTCACCCCTCTGTGTGTCTCGCTAACTCCCCCAACTTCTCCTGCCACTCAGAAAGGTCGGGGAGGTGACATGTCCACCGGTCTTCAGGATGGGGACTTTTCTCCACAAACTTTTCTCCCTCCAGGGGAAAAGTCTAGGCCACAATGCACCTCTAGATCCCGGTACTCGAGCGCTTGTCGCACCCAAACTTCTGCAATTCCACTGGTGTCCTCTTCTTTGTCTGAATCTACTATGATTTCTGTAGATACGGATACAGAGATCCCTGGTCCTTTGCAGACACCTCAAAAGCAAATCTGCATTGGATGACCGTTTGCTATCCTCTTCTGAAGCGGAGGAGGAAGAGTACGCTTCTTGGCGGGAATGCATTAACCACTTCCAGCGAGTTCACGTAAATGTGCATCCTCTGCTGGAAGTGGCTATACCAAGAACACGGATGTTGCTGCAGCCGTTTTCTTGGTACTGTTTTAAACAGCAGACGATTGCTGTTTAAATACAAGCAATCCGGCGCCTATACAGGCACTGTATCGCTTGTATGGTGCGGCGCCGTGTGTCCCCCGGTGCCGCCGGTGCTGCCGTCATGTGAGCCCGGGACTGGCGTGGAGGGTCTCTCTTGACAGATCAGAGGAGAAATCCATGGCTAGATCACTGGACCCGGAAGTGATGTGCATTACATCACTTCCGGTGTCACTGGGCACATTCTCTGGCTCCTAGAGCCAGAAGAAGAAGCTAATGAAGCATATCTCTGCTTCCTCAGCTTTTTTGGGGCCCCTAGGTGACATTAGGGGTCTTGGAGACCCTTGATGTCTCCATAAAGAGGACCTGTCACATCCTTTTTGCTATCACATAGAGGGTTTGTTAGCCCCCCTATGTGATGACAATAACGTTAAGTGGAAAAAAAATAGGAAAAAAAAATTAAAGTTGCAAAAAAAAATTAAAGTCACACATGAAAAAGAATTTTTAAAAAACAAAAAAAGTTCATGTCTCCATAAAGGGGACCCGTCACATTATATTTGCTATTACATAGGGAGATTGTTAGCCCCCTATGCAATAGCAATAAAGCTGAGTGTAAAAAATAAAAATTGTAAAAATTAAAGTAACAAAATAAAAATGCAAAAAAAAAGTTTTTAAGTCCTCCGCCCGCACATACAATGAAATCGCACGTCTGATGCGCCTATGTGCAAAAACAAAAAATTGTGCCACACGTTACATATTGTCACGAGCGCCAGAGTGTGAGCAATAATTCTAGGCCCATCAATCACTAGTAACACTAAACTGATGAGCGGTAAAAGAGTTTAAAGCGCTGCCTGTGGGAAATTTTAGTTATTGTAGTTTTTTTGCGGTTTCACGGACGCATGCAATTTTAAGGCTTGACATATTTGGTATCTATTTACCAGGTGTGACCCCGTCTCTTATATTGTACCAAAAGATTTGGCATTATATTCTGTTTCTGTGCACTAAATTAAATTTTAGTGTATTTTATTCTAAAAATAGTGTTTGATAAACATTTTTGCAAATACCGTGCAACATAAAAAATTGCAACTATCATCTTTTTATTCTACAGGGCATCTGCTTTCAGAAAATATATCATTGTTTTGGGGTCTGAAGCTGTTTTCTAGACATAAATTCTTATTTTATCATGTGTGTGCAAATGTAAGAAATTGCTCCGGGCAGCAAGTGGTTAAACATATCCCGACAAAACGAGATATTCGTCTTCTAATTTAAGAAGTTTGGGACACATGCAAAGCAGAAATACAGGTTCTACACAATGATTTTCAACACTTGACTTAACGTGTGGAGGATATAGACGGGGAAATGCAGACCACTAAACAAGACCTTTACCATCTTCAGTCTCAATATGTAGGCATTTCTTTGTTGTATCTGAAAATCTATTAAATAAAAAAAAATGTGGTGACATATACACTTGGAACAATTGTATTCTTAGCCAGCCACAGGGAAAGAGATGGGAACTTATGTGTTATATTGTTAATAATATTACCGTATATATACTCGAGTATAAGCCGTCCCGAATATAAGCCGAGGTACCTAATTTTACCACAAAAAACTGGGAAAAAGTATTGACCCGAATATAAGCCGAGGGAAATGAGGCAGCTAACTAAAATAATAGATTTGAAAATGGATGGTAGAAAGGTTACCTTGAATATGTAACATTTTGTAACAGACCTCAAAATTTTTGATAGTGGAGTTTTGTGAGTTTTTTTTCATAAGGCACTAGGCTTTGTGAAAAAAAAGTTTGAAAGTTGTTGAGCCAACTGTGAAGATACATTTCCAGTGTTTCAGTTGCTTGGATAGGGTACCCTCATTTTATGTATTTTGTGTATCTATCTGTTGATTATTTATTAAGTTTACTAGACTTGTTATAAATACATGTTATATTATAAAAGCTCCTTAGAGTTTCAATGCTTTAATGAGTAAAGGATCTGCATCCCTTCAACCACTTAGAGTTTTAGAAGGCATCTTGGTAAAATGAAACTCATATTGTATGTAATACCTCCTCAGCAGCAAACCAATTATATACGCATGAAGGAATATAAGGCTGTTCTATATACAAATCACAATACAAAATGCTCCTAGTTTGCCCTATAGCAAAGAAGTAGAATTATTTTTTTGGTCAGTTTTATAGAAAAATTGCTGGCTGCAGATTTAAAAAATTGAAAAGTTATATAATTTATTTGAACTACTGTGGAGTTTTATTTAATGACCTCTTTGCACTACACACATTAGTTATTTGCACACACAAGGCTTCATAATAATTTTAGTAGCATAATTTAAGTAAAATGCTAAATACATTAAATAAAGATAGACTTTTACAAGATGTTAGAGAGTAATATCTTTTTAAAAACTAGATTTGTATACACTTGATATGTTACCTTGCATTTTGTTAGAATTTCTAGCAAAGGAAAAATGCATGGACATTAGAAAGTTCATTGACTTTAGTAGGGCACATTCATACTGGCACATTTAAGAGGTACACTGAGAAAAAAAAGCCTACATGCTGATTTTGGTGCACTGACCTGCAGTTTCCTGCTCAATAGTCAATGGTCAATCAATTAAATAAACCATTCAAAATGCATGTAAAACAGTTTTACTATGCTGCATGTGTTGAATTAATGCAAGCTAAAATACACTACTGGATGCCAAAAAAAATCTAGTGAAATTGTTATTTCTGCAGCATTTTTTCTGTGATCCAAATGTTCTTCTGGTGGGAAGGGACACTTCAGTGGAAGCAGTTCAAAGGGTACTAGAGCCATGACAACATGCCCAGTGAATGTGGAAGTGTATACTGAGCCTTTCAGCTCAGTTTATGCTTAGCCACTCAACACTTGGATGCGGAGCTTTGCATGACTTTAATTTGTCAGAATTGTTACCCAGGATCAAGCATGCAGCTGATTCTGAATGAAAACTGCTCAAACTGGCATAGTGTAAACACACACAATATTATATTTAAGATGTTGAATATATGTAAAATACATTACCTCTTTGTTCCACTTCTATAGTAGGAGATGCAGAAAAAAAAGAGAGAGAGAGAAAACAAAATTATTCTTCAATTGACTGCACAACTAAAAAAATTATGCTAAACTTGCAATGTGTTTAATTGCACTTCATTTCAAATGTGTACATTACCCAAACCTAACAACTGTGTAAATCATGCCTTAAAAATGTGGAAAAGGGCATTAAGATTTACCTAATGAATTAAGAATCACATCTCTAAATGTGTCAAGTAATAAAAGATTCATGTGGCAGATTTTTTTTATGCAGATTACCAATGCTGTGCATAAAATCTACATACATATACAAAGTGTTAAAAATGGAGACATTTAACTTTCTGCCAACTCCATAACAGTGCAACTTTTAAAAGCTCTGTCTGGAAGAAATAATGTTGAGAGAACTGACAGGAAGCTTTTTTTTACTGAATAAGGGCCCATTCACACCACATCCAGATTACCTCCAGACCAGACCAGACTGTTTCCAGACCCAAAATGCATCCCAATGTATCCCTATGCTATTTCTGCCTCTGTTCCAACCAGCGTAGTCCGTTGGAATGCACTGGAACGCATAAAAACGCATGGAATGCACTGGAACGCACCTGTAAGACCATTTTAAGCTAGAAAAAAAATCCAATCACAACAAAATCACAGTAAAAATGCAATGCTCTATGTTTCAGATCTGGTCCGGAAAATGGTGTGAACCCAGCCTAAATCAGAACAACAAACTCTTAAGTAACAACATTTAGTTACATGAATTGACATGCATGAAGCAAAACATAAAAAGACAAACAGAATGATCTGATATGTTCTGATATTACAATATAATGTACATTCAGCATTTAAAAATAGGTCATCCGTCAAAAAAAAGTTGATAACAGTCACTGGGAAGAAACCTACCTGATCATAATCTAACCCGCTACTTATGTGAGGGTTAGTTCACACCATAAGCAGTGCGTTTTGGTCCGATTCTGGCCGGAACACACTGCCTCGCACTGCGGCCGGCGCACCTTTTTGCCGGGCAGGAGGCGGCGTGGCAGGCCATTAAAGTGAATGGCACCGTAGCCATGCCCTCCGGCCGCAATGCGATCGCCCGCATGGGATCGCAAGGCACATTGTGCCTGCAGTCCAGTGCGATCAAAATGCTACAAGCACTATTTTGATCGTAAACACAAGGAAAAGAGTTCCGAGCCACCAGAAGGAACAAGACACCACACCACTAAATATAATTGTAAAAAAAGGATAGAGAGTGGGGCTTTTTAGGTGTCGTTCTAAGCGCAAAGAACACGTATTATACATATGTCTTTAAATAAATATTTTTTATTCATACAGGTAATTACATAAATATAGATAAAACCATTCTAATATATCCACGATAACCCCAAAAGAGTTAAAATTAATTTTAGGCATAGCGCCTCCCTGAAACCACACAGTCACATGCAAGGCATCAGCAATTAAGATAAACATTTAAACATCTTATTTCATATAAATATATAGGGATTAATCATATAAAGTAATTGACATATCCAGTCTTGTGTCAGTGCACCGTGGATCCAGCCTTCTACGCGTTTCACTTAAAAAGCTTCCTCAAGACGATAAGGAGGCTGCCTTGTTTGGGGTTCCAGTGGTGGATGAATCCACATCTCCAGGAGGACCGAGCACCACCGCCCAGATGATGTAGGGAGTGAGGGACGTACAAGAGCACCGAAGAGAAAAGGTTAAATTCCCATCCATGGAAAATCAATCGTAAAAAACGACCGGCCGGTAAACTCCAAACAGGGTAGCGGCTAGTTCCAATCCCACAGATTGCCCTGTGATGTCACAGGAAACATGTGACCAGGAAGCAGGCCCCTGTCACATTTTAGGGTGTAGCAGACGCCCCCTCCAGCCCGGCAAAAAAGTGAGCTGGCCGCAATGCGAGGCAGTGCGTTCCGGCCAGAATCGAAACGCACTGCATATAGTGTGAACGAGGCCTGAAAGTGACTCTGTCCCTATTTAAAAATATATTTAAAAAACAGAGCTTGTAAAGAAAAGCATGAATACTTCCCGGTCCCACTGCCTACACCACTGTCCTAAAGAGATATTCTTGCTGAAGAATCTTTAGCATCTGACACACTTCTTGGTGCGTTGGATGCCTGGTCCCAAGCTGTGCACTGTGGCTTCTTTCACCAGCCCCTAAGGGGCTTGAAAAAAATGTAAAGCCACACACTGCACTGCACACAAGTCCATCCAGTAAAAAATAACCATATTCGGCCAGCAGCAATAGTATTATTATTAATAATAATAATTTATCAAATGTATAGAATCATACAAACATTTCTATTTGCACCTGAATGCACCTGAATTGTGCATTAAATATTTAACACAGTTACACAAGGTACACAACATTAAAAATCTATACAGTATACACATTCATAATAATTAAACCTATATAAAGAAGACTCTGTGGGGTCTATTTATAAACAATTTGCCCTGCAAACCTCTGTGGACGTCTGTTCTGTGCGAATGGAGGCAAAACAAATGTTTTTAGTATATTTTGTAACATTCAGAAAATATCACATTTAGGGCACTATATGGAGCTGAGGAGCAAATTAAATAAATACGTATAATCTAGTGCCCATAATTTGCTATCTGAATTATATATTCGACCTGAAAATAAAATATACTAAAAAATTTAGTTTTTGCCTCCATTAGCACAGAATAAATGCTCACAGAGATTCAAATGGCTCTGTGAATTGTTTATAACTAGACCCCTTAGTATTATTCAAAAATAACTAATTACTCTTAATTATATAGTGTTGGATTCAGACGTACTACCACACCAGGGTGAGAACGACTTACCAACTTAAATTAACTGTGCTGGCTTTTATCGAACTATAATACCTTCCAGAGGGCAGGATGGTAATTAGACAATGACTGAGATAAGAAGGATCCTTCACTATACCTAATACTCTATTGACACAAAAAGTATGGAGAATGTCTTCCAAAGTAGTAAGCTGACTATTGGTGGTTTCTCTGACCTGCTGTAATAATAATTTTAAGGGACTTGTTATCTTCAGCTGTACTGCTGCAGTACCAAACTGTGAAGGCATAAGTAAGCACATTCTCTATTGCACAGTGGTAGAAAGTGTGATGACATGGTCATCAGGTTATGAGTTAAATGTGTATTGGTGTTGAGTTGTGTTTAATTATGTTCTACTGTCTAACCTGGTTATCAAAAGACTGTCAGCACCACCCCTCTTTATCTCCCTTTGTACTCTGAAGGAGCTCAGGACAATGACATTCTGGCCAGACTCCTGCTCTGGCTGTCTGGAGCAGGTGGACCCCTGCAAGGTTGTGAAGACAGAATGTCTGGGGAGGGCATGGTGGATGTGATGCGATTATATTCTGATCTGATCACTTTGTGTATAAAAGTTTGTACATTTTCTCAATAAAGCAGAGTTTGTTTCACCCTACACTCGAGTCTTGACTAGTGACAGTGGAAACTGGGAGCTAAAGGCCAGTGGTTTGCAATATCTCCTGACCAAGGAAGAATACAGCGGCGGACATACTCATCCTGAGTACTGGGGTCCGTCACATTGGTGGCAAGCGGTGGGATGCTCTTCCTTGCCTAAGGAGACATTCAAACCATCACCGGGACCAAGTTTGCTGCTGACATAGGAGAAGAGCCACAGCTGCCTACGGCCATGGAAGCGCTGGCCCAGCTCGACAATCCTGGTTCTGCCCAGGATATGCTGGGAAGGAGAGACGCTTTGCGCCGGGAGATCTGGAGGGAGACTCTTCAATTGCAGCAGCACTATTGTGGCAAGGTCCTCCCTACATCCGAGGAACGATACTGGCTGCAATGGGACTTGTGTATGCCTTTCCTGGGAGAGCAGCCCCAGGAGGAATGGCTGTCGGAGCTGGATTGGCTGCTTCAAACGGAACTGATGCTGGATGATGGGTATCGGGCACTGCAGTGGTATGTCACCCAATTGTGTCCATGGCTGGAGAACAATTATCCCACAGAGGATTATGACTTCAGCGGCCCGGGACTCATATTTGAGGCGCTCCAGGAGGATCCACAATTTGGGAGTGCCAGGAGTGGAGATGGGAGGACATAAGTGATTTTAGGGAGTTTGGAAACCCAGATTCTGGATCTAAACAACAAACTGGCAACACTAAGGAGCATAACCATCATGGAAAAGAGTCTGGACATAACGCACCAGGCTGTCGTGGAGGGTGGTCTGGGTGAGGAGTGGGGGTCGGAGGAGCAGGATCCTGAGGTGGGTAGCTGGGTGGTTAGAAGGAGAGGTAGAGGAAAGATTGCGAGAGAGGTCAGCCCTGATCTGATTCACCCCAATAAATATGCCAGGTTGCGTGATGTTGGGGATATTAGTTCAGGGGGGACACTGCTGGAGCAGGACGCATCCTTCATCCGCAGGGGGAGTGACTGCTCCGGTGAGGATGGGAGCAGGATGGAGGGTCATGAGAGGCAGATCCTGGTGGGGGGAGATTCCATCATCAGGCGAACTGCCAGCGTAATCTGTCATCGGAACCGTGAGCGTCGAACAGTGTGCTGCTTACCGGGGGCCCGTGTTCGACACATTGCGGAACGAATTGACAGATTACTAGATGGGGTTGCAGACCCCGTTGTTATGGTGCACATCGGCACCAATGACAAAATACGACGAAATTGGAGTGTCCTAAAAAAAGGAGTTCAGAGACCTAGGTGCTAGACTGAAGGAAAGGACCTCCACGGTAGTTTTCTCAGAGATACTGCCGGTGACACGAGCCACTCCGGACAGACAGCGCGAGTTGAGGGAGCTTAACAAGTGGCTCCCGAGCTGGTGTTAGAAGGAGGGATTTGGTTTCCTGGAGAACTGGGCTGACTTCGCAGTCGGCTGCCAGCTCTTCAGCCGAGACAGGCTGCACCTTAATGGGGAAGGTGCAGCATTTCTGGGGGCAAACATGGTAGAAAGCCTGGAGGAGCTTTAAACTAGATAATGGGGGGGAAATAACATTAC